GGATGATATGGTTCTATTCCTGCTTTCACTACGGTGTATCACTCTGGAACAGCCACTTACTACTCCGGGTCTTGGTTCTTCAACTGTCGGAAGGGGATAATGCACTGTGTACTTGCAGGGTTCTAGAGAGGATCAATGGAATGATTAGGAAGTGTTCTGCAAAATGTGAAGTTATCAGGGACATTTTTCAGGTGTTTTTATAATGTCAGTCCTGTGCTTCTGAGCTGGAAATACTTTTCATGGGCTGCTATTTGAGACTCATCCACTACACTGTGTCCTGTTCTGCACCATGCTGGTTACTGGCCTTCACTGCAGTCCTTCAGTCCAAAACTGGGCCAACTCACTGCCACAACTAGGTCCTTTACCTTTTCTTTCACCCAATTGGTTTCTGGAATGTCGGTGCAATGATTTAAAGGCCCAAGTTTTAGAGACAGATTTCCTAGTTCAAATTCTAGCTCCACCGTTTCTAGTTTTGAGGTCTGAGCAAGTTAATTCTAAAGTATGCATCTGTTTGCTTTTATCTAAAGTGAGCTTTACAAAGTTTTTGTGAAGATTAGTAAAATAATGCATATAAAGTGCTTACTAGTTCAGCATACGCACAAGTATGTATTTAGTCAACATTAACAATAATTGACCAGGAATGCTAGTAGTAATATCTGCTACCCATCACTGAAGCAGCTAAACACACTGCCATTGACAGGAGAGAGGACATTTTCTGCTTGATTTCCAATCACAGGTGCTATGTTGTAATAAGTATCCTTTCATGGATGATCACCTATGCTTTGGCCTGCAGGTTTTAATATTTAGTATTTAAACTGCCATATTCATAATGTTAAAAATGACCAGGAAGCAACATATGATGACTATCATTATATCTACATCTTTTTTCACATGAAGCAATGGTTCTTGACTTGAGGTGTATTTATTCTCCAGAGGACACTGGGCAATGTATGGAGATACTTTGACTGTTTCAAGTTGGAGGTAGTTTCTAGAATCTAAGTGAACAGAGGCCAGGGATACTGCTAAACAAGTTAAAGGATAGATATCCACAATAAAGAATCATCTGACCTATGGCCAGTAGATGCTCAACATCATTAATTATTTGAGAAATACAAATCAAAACTATGATGAGGGACACCTTACACCAATCAGAATGGCCATCATTAAAAAGTCTACAGTAAAATTCTAGAGAGGGTGTGAAGAAAAGGGAACCTACCTACACTGTTGATGGGGATATAAATTGGTACAGCCACTGGAAAACAGTATGGAGGTTCCTCAGAAAACGGAGCTACGTATGATCCAGCAATCCCACTCCTGGGCATATACCCAGACAAAACTATAACTCAAAAAGATACAGGCACTCCTATGTTCATAACAATTCTCATAACAATAAAATGATTGTTGTAAGTTTTGTAAGAATTGTCATAAGTGTAAGTTTTGTAAAATGGGAGGATCATTTTAAATTAGTGATTGGACAATTTGCAGTAACATTAATTGACTGAAAAGCCCTAAAAATGTATAAAACCATATTAGCTAGGAGAGGAATATAAGCGCCAGCAAAACTTTTTAGTCAGCTGTGGTGTGCACAGCCCCATCCATGGTAGATGCTCTGGGAGATGAGAAATAACTGAAGACGAGGAGTGCTAAGATTTGAGTGTAGGCAACTCTGACTGATGTGATGAGATGTACTAATCCCATGTTACAAGGAGTTAAAAAACAGAGCAATTGCTTCCATTTGGTCCACCCAGGATCATCAGGGAAGGCTTTAAGGAAGACGTGGTATTTGAAATGGCTAATGCAGATGAGCAGGATTTTAGTGGTTGAAAGAAAAGGAAGAGGAGGGCAAGGATATGCACAGGAAACAGAGGACATAGAGCAGAAAGTGGCTGATTTGGACCAGAATATGAAAAGAGATTGGAAGATTAGAAGAATTGCTTTACACAAGATCAGCAAACGCCTTTACTCCTAAACTAAGTAGTTTGATCTTTAAAAAATTTATTGAGAAGCTTAAGTCCTAAAGGTTTTAGGACTGAGAGTGAGATAAATAGAGCTTTCATTATTGCAATTAATCTGGATATTGCATATCAGATGGAAAATCTGGAGGTGGGGAGATAAGTAGAATTTACTATATCCTGGGAAACAGATGGATGATTAAAGGAGTGGAATGTTGGGGACAGATAAGGGATAGATATGAGAACACAGAATGCCTACTAATGCAAAGGTAATAGAAAATACAAAGGAAGGTCTAATTGGGAGCAGGAAAAGAAATTATTTTAGATAAGAGATATATCAAGGAAATGATTAGAAATGTAGGACTAGAATTCAAGGAAGAGAACAGAGGAGTATCATGAAAGGAAAGAGTTGAGAGAAGAATGGCAAATCAAGACCCACGAATAAACACACCCACCACCCTTTATGTTAGAAATTTTCAGTCTTGGCCCTTTTAGGCCAGATGATTTTTCTTCTTCCTTCCTTTTTTTTCTTTTTTTTTTTAAATTAAAGTAGAGTTGATTTACAGTGGTGTGCCAATCTCTGCTGTATAGCAAAGTGACTCCATTATATACAGATATACATTCTTTTTTTAGTATTCTTTACATTTTAGTTTATCCTAGGAGATTATTGATAGTTTCCTGTGCTATATACTGTAGGACCCTGTTGTTTATCCACTCTGAATGTAACAGTTTGCATTTAACACTCCAAATTCCCAGTCCTCCCCTTTAGCAACCACAAGTCAGATCTCTATGTCTGTTGAGTCTATTTCTGATTTATAGGTAGGTTCCTTTGTGCACATTTTAGATTCCACATATAGGTGATATCATATATGTCTATCAGACTTACTTCACTTAGTATGAGAATCTCTAGTTGCTGCAAATAGCATTATTTCATTCTTTTTTATGTCTGAGTAATATTCCATTATACAACACACACACATATATATAAGTTCTATATGTCTGAGTCTCTTTTTCTGAAAAAAATATTCCACGCAAACGGAGACCAAAAGAAAGCAGGAGTCGCAAGATAAAGACCATTGCTCTGTTTTTTAACTCCTTGTAACATGGGGTGAGTACGTCTCATCACATCAGTCGGAACTGCCTACACTCACATCTTAGTGCTCCTCCTCATCTATTAATTTCTGACCTCCCAGAGCATCTACCACAGGGCTGTGCACACCACGGCTGACCAAAAAGATTTGCTGCAGCTCATACTCCTCTCCTAGCTAACAGGCTTTATACGTTTTGAAGACTTTTCGGTCAATTAATGTGTTACTGCAACTTGTCCAATCACTAATTAAAAATGATTCTCCCATTTTACGAAACTTAAACTTTGTCTGAACTAGTTAATTTTGAGTCTACATTCTCCTTAATTTGTACTAAAGAGTTTTACGTTACTGATAACACAAATACCTTATGGATCCAGCTATTTTACCACAAGAAAAATCGTGTCTATTGGCAAACAATTTATTAATTTTCCTTAAAGAAAATAACAAAGGGAAAAAAGATCCCCTCCATAATCTAGTCTCTTCATGAAGATTTTTCTCCTATGAAAGTTGCTTCATTTTATTATCTTTAAGTCAGCTAGGCTGAGAGGAAATAAAATACTTAAAAGTAGTCCCTGATTTTATAAATATATATTTATTAACAATGAGGCTTTTCTCTCCCAGATGCATACTAATAATCAATCAAAATGACTGATTTTCTCACTTTCTAAAGCCTCAAGATTCATTTGATTTCAAGGTCACCTGAAAATGAATATCCCCTACTAGTGGAAGATTTCATATACAGTAACCATTAAGAATATAACAACCATATTTCTATCATCAGAAAAACAAATACAACTACATTTAAAAAAGATCAACATTAAACAAAGATAAATCTTTCCAGTGTGGAAGTCTTTCTTCTTTCTCCTTGCCTCATTAAAAAGAGAAAGAAGGATCAGATTGCTGAGCTGGGGTGTAGTTAGTAATATTCAAAAGCCCTAATCTTGTCTAAACAAAGCTCTTCCCCTCTTCCTAGTTTCCTCCTATGAAGAAATCTGAGTTATGACTCTGATATAAGAGATGGCAAATAATGAATCTTCTTCCACGGGCTTGTGCTTTACATTGTTTAAGATCTGTTTATTGTTCATGAGTATTTTAACAAAAATCTATTAAAATGCAATGGGTTTAATTTGGATTGAATAAAAGACAATCTAGTGTAAATAGCTGGGAAATCAAGTGATCTCAAACTAAAATTTGGTAAGTATCTGCTGTGTGCCAGATACTTTACACACATTGTTTCATTTTAAATCTTCACAGTCTATGAAGCAGACATTCTTACTTCTGTTTCCCATATGAGAAAAGTGAGGTTTAATACTTGACCATTATTTAATGAATGTCACTCAGTTGACCAATTTGGCCAGTCCTCAAATTCTATCCTCTATTATGTACCTACAATTGAATTTTAAAATTTGGGGTAGTCTATTCTGCATTAATATAATCTACCTCAAGCTAAAAATAAAACCATGACACCAGTTTGGGAATATTCTACTTGCAATTTAAAAAAATATGGGGAAGTTTCATTAATTCTGGTCAATGTGGCAGTAAATTTAGTGACTGTTGTTCTTATTTTTTTTATAGAAGCCTGAAGGCAAAGAGGAAAAATAAGTCTTTTAAAAGGGGTTTTCTTCAACAAACCATCATGCTGACAAATTAAATGACAGGCACCTTTCTCACCAGCTGACAGCCTAGCAGGGTCCCTGTTAACATGCGCATTAGGACAGACTGATTGGTTTAATTGGCAGTCATGCTTAAAAACCTGCAGAGGAATTGATGCTGAATGAATCATTTCCTTCAGCAATATTCAGCAGTTTGAATGCAGCAATGCAACCAAAAGCTCTTAAAATTGTTCTATTTATTGTTGAAATCAATCGACCAAGTGATTACTTTCATTTTATTTTCTAAAACTGTGTGCTTTTCATTGAAAGTCATCATTTAAAAATGCTTAAAAGAAAAGATTTCTTACCAAATTTTCCCATATCTCAAACTGGAAGGCACTAGAAGCAGACAATGTCGTGAGGAATAAATCTAGGAGGAAAATAACACAATTGTAAGCTTTGTTACTGATGTGTACATTTAAACAGGAAGAAATACAACACATAAAAAGTTATAATACAGTTGCATTTAAACATATCTTAAATTTTATATATACATATATTTATGTACATCAAATGATGCTTATTAACAGTTTATAAGATCTAGATCTAAGCAACATCAATGGTGGGTCCTTTGATGTGACTCCGTTCAAGTTCAACAAGGAATGGTATAAGTATTTTTTTTTTTTTTCGGCCTAAGCACATGGCATGTAGGATTTTATTTCCCTGACCAGGGATGGAATCTGTGTCCCCTGTAGTGGAATTGTGGAGTCTTAACTGCTGGACACCAGGAAAGTCTGTAAACTTTATTTTAATGTGCTTGATCCATCAAAGAAAATAAAGCAGATGGCCCTGTATTAATACAATTAAAGAAAATGCATTTAAAGGGAGCATTTAGTATTAGTCATTCAAAGGCATTCTTTACTTTTTTTTCTTTCATAATTCTAGTTCATTTTATTATAGCAATATTTTTAAAAGTGCCATTATAATCTCAGATAGGTCTCTTAAGCTAAAAAAAATATTTTTGTACAATGATAATTGATAGTTCCACATCTAGTCCCACTTTTCCTAATGGATACATCATCCTAAGCAAAGAAGACAATTAAAGACCACCTGCATATTCTTTCTGGTATATTGAAAGTGGTAAAAACTATAAAATGAAACAACAAAAATATGTTTTAGGGACCAGTGCTATCCTACACAATGATGCAATTAAATGCATCTTTTTAAAAAATTTATTTTTTTAAATTTGTCTTTTTGAAGGATAATTGCCTTACAGAATTTTGCTGTTTTCTGTCAAATCTCAACATGAATCAGCCATAGGTATAAATATATCACCTTTCTTTTGAACCTCCCTCCTATCTCCCTCCCCATCCCACTCCTCCAGGTTGATACAGACCCTGTTTGAATTTCCTGAGCCATACAGCAAATTCCCATTGGCTATCTATTTTACATAAGGTAATATAAGTTTCCATGTTACTCTTTTCCTACATCTCACCCTCTCCTCTTCCCATGTCCATAAGTCTATTCTCTATGTCTGTTTCTCCAATGTTGCCCTGTAAATAAATTCTTCAGTACCATTTTTCTAGATTCTATATGTATGTGTTAGAATACGATATTTGTCTTGCTCTTTTTGACTTACTACACTCTGTATAATAGGTTCTAGGTTCATCCACCTCATTAGAACTGACTAAAATGTGTTCCTTTTTATGGCCGAGTAATGTTCCATTATGTATATGTACCACACTTCTTTATCCATTCATCTGTCGATGGACATCAAGGCTGCTTCCATGTTCCAGGTATTGTAAATAGTGCGGCAATGAACAATGGGATACATGAGTCTCTTTCAATTTTGGTTTCCTCAGGGTATATGCCTAGGAGTGGGATTGCTGGGTCATATTGTGGTTTTAGTCCTAGTTTTTAAAGGAATCTCCACACCGTCTTCCATCGTGGGTGTATCAAATTACATTCCCACCAAAAGTGTGAGAGCATTCCCTTTTCTCCATAACCTCTCCAGCATTTACTGTATATAGAGTTTTTGATGATGGCTATTCTGACTGGTGTGAGGTGATATCTCATTGTAGTTTTGATTTGCATTTCTCTAATAATGAGTGATGTTGAGCATCTTTTCATGAGCTTGTTAGCCATCTGTATGTCTTCTTCGGAAAATTGTCTGTTTAGGTCTTCTCCCCACTTTTTGATTGGGCTGTTTGTTTTTCTGGCATTGAGTTGTATGAACTGCTTTTATATTTTGGAAATTAATCCTTTGTCAGTTGTTTCATTTGTTATTATTTTTTCCCATTCTGAGGGCTGTCTTTTCACCTTGCTGTGCAAAAGCTTTTAAGTTTGATCAGGTCCCACTTGTTTCCTTTTGTTTTTTTATTTCCGTTACTCTAGGAGGTGGGTCATCGGAGAAGGCAATGGCACCCAACTCCAGTACTCTTGCCTGGAAAATTCATGGATGGAGGAGTCTGGTAGGCTGCTGTCCATGGGGTCGCGAAGAGTCAGACACCACTGAGCGACTTCACTTTCACTTTTCACTTTCATGCATTGGAGAAGGAAATGGCAACCCACTCTAGTGTTCTTGCCTGGAGAACCCCAGGGATGGCAGAGCCTGGTGGGCTGCTGTCTATGGGGTCGCACAGAGTCGGACATGACTGAAGTGACTTAGCAGCAGCAGCAGGAGGTGGGTCACAGAGGATCTTGCTGAGATTTATGTCACTGAGTGTTCTGCCTATGTTTTCCTCTAAGAATTTTATAGTTTCTGGTCTTATATTTAGGTATTTAATCCATTTTGAGTTTATCTTTGTGTATGGTGTTAGGAAGTGTTACAGTTTCATTCTTTTACATGAAGCTGTTCAGGTTTCCCAGCACCAATTACTGAAGAGGCTGAATTTGCCCCATTGTATATTCTTGACTCCTTTGTCAAAAATAAGGTACCCATAGGTGCATGAGTTTACTTCTGGGCTTTCTATCTTGTTCCACTGGTCAGTAGTTCTGTTTTTTGCCAGTACCATACTGTCTTGATGATTGCAGCTTTGTAGTATAATCTGAACTCAGGAAGGTTGATTTTTCAAGCTCCATTTTTCTTTCTCAAGACTGCTTTGGCCATTCAGGGTCTTTTGTGTTTCCATATGAATTGTGAAATTTTTTGTTCTAGTTCTGTGAAAAATGTCACTGGTAATTGGACAGGGATCACACTGAATCTGTAGACTGCGTTTGGTAGTCTGGTCATTTGAATATTGATTCCTCCTGCCCAGGAACATGGAATACCTCTCCATCGACTTATGTCATCTTTGTTTCATTAGTGTCTTATAATTTTCTGTATACAGTTCTTTTATCTCCTTAGGTAAATTTATTCTACACATTTAATTCTTTTTGTTGCAATGGTGAATGGGACTGATTCCTTAATTTCACTTTCTGATATTTCCATGTATTGGTTTTATATCCTGAAACTCTGCTAAATTCATTGATTAGCGTCTAGTAATTTACTATCTTTAGGGTTTTCTATGTGTAGTATGATGTCATCTGCAAACAGTGAGAGCTTTACTTCTTTTCCAATCTGGATTCCTTTTATTGCTTTTTCTTCTCTGACTGCTGTAGCTAGGACTTCCAGAACTATGTTGAATAACAGTGGCAAAAGTGGACACCCTTGTCTTGTTCCTGATCTTAGGGGGAATGCTTTCAGTTTTTCAACATTGAGAACAGTATTTGCAGTAGGTTTATCATGTATGGGCTTTATTATGTTCAGGTAGGTTCCTTTTTTTGAAGTGTTTTAATCATAAATGGGTGCTGAATTTTGTCAAAAACTTTTTCTGCATCTGTCCAGATTATCATATAATTTTTATCTTTCAATTTGTTAATATGGGGTATCACACTGATTGATTTATATATATTGAAGAATCCTTGCAATAAACCCAACTTGATCATGGTGTATGAGTTTTCTGATGTATTGCTCAATGCTGTTTGCTAAAATTTTGTTGAAGACTTTTGCATTTACGTTCATCAGTGTTATTGGCCCGTAGTTTTCTTTTTTGTGTGTTGTCTTTGTCTGGTTTTGGTATCGGGGTGATGGTGGCCTCATAGAATGAGTTTGGAAGTGTTCCTTTCTCTGAAAATTTTTGAAAGAGTTTTAGAAGCATAGGCATTAACTTTTCTCTAAATATTTGATAGAATTCTCCTGTGAAGTAATCTGATCCTGGGCTTTTGTTTTTTGGGAGATTTTGGATCACAGCTTCAATTTCAGTGCTTGTAATTGGGTTGTTCATAATTTCTATTTCTTACTGGTTCAGTCTTGGAAGATTGAACTTTTCTAAGAATCTGTCCATTTCTTCCAAATTATCTATTTCATTGCCATATAGTTGTTCACAATACTCTCTTATAATCCTTTGTATTTCTGCATTATCTGTTGTAACCTCTCCTTTTTCATTTCTAATTTTGTTGATTTGATTCTTCTCTCTTTTTTTCTTGATTAATCTGGTTAAAGGCTTGTCAATTTTGTTTATCTTCTCAAAGAACCAGCTTTTAGTTTTATTAATCTTTACTATTGTTTATTTCATTTCTTTTTCATTTCTTTCTGCTCAGATCTTTATGATTTCTTTCCTTCTACTAATTTTTTGGGGGGTTTGTTCTTCCTTTTCCACTTGTTTTAGGTGTAAAATTAGGTTGTCCCTTCGATGTGTTTCTTGTTTCTTGAGGTAGGATTGTATTGCTATCAACTTCCCTCTTAGAACTACTTTTGCTACATCCCATAGGTTTTGAGTTGTGTTTTCAGCCATTTGTCTCTAGAAATTGTTTTATTTCCTTTTTTATTTCTTCAGTAACCTGCTTGTTATTTAGAAACATGTTGTTTAATCTCCATGTATTTGTGTTTCTTACAGTTTTTTTTTTCTTGTAATTGATATCTAGTCTCATAGCTCTGTGGTTGGAGAAGATGCTTGATATAATTCAACTTTCTTAAATTTATTGAGGTTTGATTTGGGACCCAAGATGTGGTCCATCTTGGAGAATGTTCCATGTGCACTTGAGAAGAAGGTGTATTCTAGTGCATTTGGATGGAAATGTCCTGAAGATATCAATGAGATCCATCTCATCTAATGT